TTTAAATCTCATTTCTCTCGTTCATCATATTCTGTGATCTGTGTTGCTCATAACTTTTGTGAATTTTGCAATTGTACAATATTATAGTACATACAGATCGTGTAATTGATGAGAAACAGGTATTTTTTAAAACGAAAACCAAATTCATATGGACTAATTCGAATAGAATCACGACACATGATCACGTCTGATACATACACAATAATATATTACGTTGTCACAGTAGATTTACTATTGTTGTGGGTGTGGGTGTGGGTGTAGATAAAGAGTTGATTACATTGACACCCACACCCACACCCTAGATTCGACCAGACTGGTATTGCCTGGTGAATGTTTGTATGCCTATGCTAAAATAAAAAGTCTCAGATAGACTGGCACTCTCATTAACCTTTAACCGTTGACCCTCTATGATACGTAATATAAACTTTAGGTATGGAAAATTCATTCTTAAATCCGCTATGGGCCCGAATGATTAGTATATCTGTTAATAACTCAATAAGCTCTACAAATTGGAATCACTAAAAGTTAAATAGCATTTGATCAGTTGAGGGTGTTCCCTCGTCATTCATATCGATATTCATATATCGATAAATCGTATGAAAAGTTCATTGTAAACAAAATGCCATACTAAGGAATCTCAAAAATAATTCATAGAAATATCATTCACGTACATTGAAAATAGCAGCAAAATATTTTTTGTGGTGAAATCTATCGATCTATATAGTTTTCTCAATGATATATTGAGAAAAAGATAGCAGACCGATTTATGATTTAATGAGTTCATCTTCTTTTTCCTATAAGCACTGTCTACTTAATCAATACTATAAACGATTTTCCCACATCGTTCTAAATAGTTTTTTTTTCAACTCATTTTTGTTATTATTTTGTAGAGGAGAAAAAACTACACAATATATGTCAAATTATATTCAGGCTAAGGTTTTATAAAAGCACGGAATGATGGCTAATAAATGGTAAAAAACTGATAGAATTTAACTGAAAAGATGAACAGTCATATATAGTTATTGACAAATAACTCTAGATTAGTACATTGATATATAATATGCAAATAGATAATTTCGTTCAGCATTTGATTTTCTATCTTTTGGTATATTACAGTAAATATTTCACTAACTTATTGTTATCTTAAAAAACTAACTCAACTTCATAGAGATGATTTTTGATGATATTCTCTGAATTATGCTTGAAAGTTGGATCGGGCTAACTTTTCACCACTTCAACCGAATGCGGTTAAAATTTGGATTTAGAGATTTTAGATGATGCTGATGAATATAAGGATATCAAATCAAATCAAATAATTCTATTTTGATTAGTGCTTCGATTTCTTGATTATCTTGTCAGTGTTTACTTGATGTCCATATATTAGGTACTATTATAGGCCTCTCGTGTATGCCTTTTTTCGAGGTGTTGATAGTTTTTTCAGACCTTGAATTTTATATGTTTAGATGCGGCTTGAAAAACTCTACAAAATGAAATAAAGAAAACATTTTTGGTGGTTTGAGAATTGGAATTACAAAAGCGTTAAAACTAGGAAAAATACGATGGTTTCTACCCCTAGTTTTTCATGGTTTTTGGCCTTGAACGAACGCGATCGCTCTAGCCACTTTTGAGAAAAAGTCAAAATATGACCCACAATGAGTTGATGACTAAAATGACATGATGGCCGAGAGGGTGAAAAAAGTTGGCAAGGGCTAATGTTTTTGTAGAATGGTTTCAAATCGAAAAATTTTGGATTTGTTGGTAAAAAATAAATGCTCTTTTCATCTATATAGTTGAAATCGAAAAAAAATCTAGCGGCGGTCGCGGTAGTTGGTGGTCTGACAGAATCTCTCTTAATAAGATTTTGTCGAAATAATTTTGTCTTCTTTCATTTCAAAAGACAATCTAGTAGATATTTGCAACTAAACATATATTTTATGGTTGTCATTTGTTAAACTGCTTTACATTTACTTAACGAAAAACACTTTATGTCGATCGTTACTGTATATAGCGGGAAGGTGTCAACTCGTAACGGTACGTTACGAAAGCCCTGCTTTTTATAATTTTTTTACAGGGCTTTCGTATCGATGTTTACAGGACCTTCGTACCGCTCTTACAAGGCTATCGTAATGTTAAAGCAGTGAGTGTGATTTCTAGTCAGATGCTGCTGACAGAGTTTCTTATTGAGATTCGTATTTTACCAAAATTATATCGAAAAAAGTTCAAGAGCAGAACGAGAGAACCGGAAGATAGATACAGACAAACTTTAATCTTTTTCTAAATTTATTTCCTAATAACAACAACAAGTAACAGTAGCCAAGAAAAACATAGAGAGGGAGAAGATTGGACGAGCAATACTCCCAAATAACATAGATATAAGAGTACACAATTGATTATCTTGACTTTAAGTCAACAGCTACAACAAGAAATAGTCATACAATCACATAGACAATGTTGAAAGAGTAAATGTGTAGAAGTGACTGTGATACCTATGAAGGTATACAGATGATTAATTCACAGGATAGTACTACGTGTTTGGATCATTAAGGTACATAAAAGTTGTTATGGATGAATCACACCTACTGACTTAATAGATTTTTGTAAGCAAGAGTATTTGCAACGAATACCCTGTTTTTTTTAATAGAGTATTAGTCTTTGAATCTGGTTATGAATGTAATACAAAACTTAGTTACGAAAGCCTTGTAAATTTCTCGTTACGAGTTGACAGACCCGCTATATAGCATCAGCAGACTAGCAGAATTTTATGAACAAAATCGAAAATAATAGGATCTCCATTCTTCACTCATGGGTACATGAATATTCTTTACAAGACGAAATATTATCAAGACAAAACCAACCATGGTTGATGGCTATTTACGTATTACCAACGAGTTCATCATGGAAAAGAGTAGTAGTTGCTTGATAACTCGTAATGAAAGTGATTCTAGCTACCAGAAGATTACAAAAGAAGTGTGAAGCAGATACTATTGTGATTGATAATATAAACAACTTATCACCCTCAGGCTAATAATTAAAATATATGAATCAAGTGCATTAAAATTTCGAAGTTCAATTTTTTAGATAAGAGAATAATTATTTTTGAAAATCAGAAAATTTTATTAGTTATGACAAGACACTTTTGTTTAGTGCAGGTATCTGAATCTGTAAGTCATTTATCAAAAGTTTTATAAAATTTTGTTAATTCCGTTTAATAAATAATTTCTAACTGAAAATGCAGATTGAAAGTTTCAACAAATGATCGGTAGGCCGATTTCCTTTCTAACTGCTATGTTAACAGTTACTTCTACCATAATGAAATCCAAATGTTTTGAATTTGTTTTTAGTATTAATATATGCCTAATTTAGGCAAATTTTTTATAGCATATAATATATTCCAACGAAAACTGACGATGAAAGGTTAACCTTATCTTCCATTAGGATGCTAAAATACTTCTTATATACTGGTTAATTGGTATTCGTAAAAGAGAGTGAACATCTTGAATTTTATGTATAGTGATTAGAGAGATCATTTTAATTGGAAAGAAAAACAAAACTTGGAATAAAAATCAATATATGATGTGCTCATTTCATTTTTAGTTGATTAAAAAAATGAATTTTTTTTTTCATAAGAAGGCACAGATTATTCATCAAGTGAGATCTGTTATAATAAAGATCAAATGGAAAAGATACCATACAAATACTTTTTTTGCTATGCTAAAAAATATGCATTATTTATAATAATACGATGAGAAGAGAGTTCGATTTTTTCTTTCAAAAAAGGAATTTATTCATTATAAAAAAAAAAAACAAAAACTGACTGCTGTTAGCATGAACAGTCAAAATTTGCAAATAAGTGAATGGTCAACACCACAAGCTTCTTCATCTTATTCAAAAAATTTATTCAAAAGGACAAGTGAAAATAAAATATTTCCAACTAACACTTCTACAACAAATGTTAATCAAAATGAAAAGTAACACAAAACTATTTAATTATAATATTATTCTTTTTTTTGAGATCTGTATCTCAAAATACATTCATAACAAATCAAAAATTCCTTCCAATTGTTCTTGGTGTATTATTGGGTGCTCTTACATCTGGTTTAGTTTTATCTGTTGTGACTACAGTTTGGTTAACGTCTTCAACTAAAACATCAACGACAAGTGAGACATACAAATAGAACCTTTTCAATAGTTAATATTGAAAAATTTTCTTGCATGAAGAGAAGTAGAATTTTAACATTCTTTTAGATAAAGTTTTTTTAATACTTAAATCTGAGTAAAATTTCTGGATAAGATTAAAGAAATAAATTCTTTTTAGTTTTATTTTATTAAATATTCAAAATAATCATCATTATTATTCTATATGAAGTTTTATCCTTTGTTAACAGTTTGTTACACAAAAAGATTGTATTGAATAAATTGAAATTTCAATTCAAGAGATAAAAGGTTTCTCTTTGACAGAAAATAGAATAAAAAAGCCTTGTAATCTTCCATTTCATATTTTTTTTTGTTTTTATGATGAAAATACAGAACAAAGTTCAATTTTTTTTCATTTAATTATAAATTCAATAAAGAATGTTAAAGATCTTCAATCAATCTAATGAATTTTTATATTTCTGCAAAGTAATTCAAATTTTAAAAACTTTTTTAACATTACATGAACATATTCATTTAAATCTTCTAAATAAAAATATTTATATTTAGCTGTGTCAACAATTGCAGGAGCATCAATTACACGTAATGTATCATTTTCATTTATTAATATTGATGATCTCTTAGTAGTAATGTTCAATATTTCTTTTTTTTTTCTAAATGATGAAATATATTTCCTATAAACAATGTAAGACGTTCTCTCAAAGAATTTTATTCACATTAACTATAACAAACAGTTTTCCATCGCATGACTATGAATTTTTTTGAAATTTGATGACTCATATATTTTTTTTCTAAACGAAATTTAATTATTATTTGCTATTAGAATGGACAATCACTGGTACTTTAAATAATGCCCGATATTATCATACAGCATCTGTATTAACTAATGGACAAGTATTAGTAACTGGTGGACGGAGTACTAGTTATTTCAATAGTACCGAGTTGTATGATCCATCAACAGGAACGTGGACAGCCACTGGTAGTATGAATTATGTTCGATATTATCATACAGCATCTTTGTTAACCAATGGACAAATTTTAGTTACTGGTGGGAACGGTAGCAGTAGTATTTTAAGTAGTGCTGAGTTATATACCTCATCAACAGCAGCGTGGACAGTCACCGGTAGTATGATTTATACTCGATATTATCATACAGCATTCGTATTAACAAATGGAACAGTTTTAGTTACTGGTGGACAGATTGGAGGTACTTTTACACATGGTACTGAGTTATATAATCCATCAACGGGTTCATGGACAACTGGTAATCATATGATTAATGCTCGAGGTTATCATACAGCATGTGTATTGACAAATGGAAAAGTGTTAGTTATTGGTGGATATACTGGTAGTAATGGTTATATGAACAGTACTGAGTTATATGACCCATCAACAGGAGTGTGGACAATCAATGGCACTTTGAATTATGGTCGACGTTATCATACAACATCTTTGTTAAATAATGGACAAGTATTAGTAACTGGCGGACAGAGTACTAATGGTTATTTAAATAGTGCCGAGTTGTATGATCCATCAACAGGAATATGGACAGTTACTGGTAATATGAATTATGTTCGATATTATCACACAGCATCTCTATTAACCAATGGAAAAGTTTTAGTGACTGGTGGACTTAGTAATAGTAGTAGTTATTTAAATACTGCTGAGTTATATGATTCATCAACAGGAAGATGGACAATCACGGTTAGTATGAATTATAGTCGATATTATCATACAGCATCTCTATTAACTAATGGAAATGTTTTAGTTACTGGTGGATATGTTACCAGTGGCAATTATTTAAATATTTCAGAGTTATATCAACCATAACAGACAAATAAACAATAAAGTTTTTTTTGTTTTAATGAATAATTTTGTATTTGAGAATTATACTAATATTAGAATTATTTTCATTTACTAACAATCAAATATTTCTTTTTTAATTTTTCGCTCTCAGAATTAATTTTTCTCTTTTACCGTTATTAGATTTCAACAGATGCTGAAGATTGAAAAGTGTTCAAAATGCATTTTCTCTTTTTAATAATCTTATAATTTTAAAAGAAAGATTTGTTTTAATGTATTGATGAAAAGTGCGAAATTGTATTATTGACAATATT